GTCACTCGGAGTACGAAATGTACCTCGTTTCCCGTGCCCGGGCTAACTCCTATTCCGGACTACCTCCAAGGACTTAGCTTGGGAGGGTTTGGCTTCTGGATTGAAGAAGACTACCTTTAGTTAATTGTCTTTAATAACATTCAAGCCTGGGGGCTTTTCTTATATTGAGTTAGAACTCATATTTTTGTATCCAAGTGTTGGCTTGGAAAGATGTAAGCCTGTAGGGCATTTTATCCGATGTTACATGTAATGCTTTATTTAGTAATACTCTGATGAATGAATTAATAAATTGTCTTCTTTAAATAATGCATGTCAATGATATATATAATGGGTTAATTTAACTTTTGTAGAATACTAGTTACATTTTCATGTAACAAATGGCTATAAAAATGTTTATCAATAAAGCCACTAATTATCATGCCAAAAATAGGCATTATTTGATAATTAATTAATTGTCATTTTATATATATTTGAAAGGAGGAACACATTTCGAAAGCTTTTTCGTCTCATGTTACATTTCGAAGGTGTTTATTGATGACAAAACTACCCTTCAAAAGTCACATATGTTACTAAAGGATCAAAATCGTCATTCGAAAGTGCTCACGACATCTCTTCGAACCAAATCCAAATAGTTGGATTACAATGAAATTAGTTTGACATTTTAACTAGTCATTAGTGGCTATAAAATGATATTTCAATGAATACATATAATAGCAAAATCATTTATCCTTTGAAAAGAGGTTTAACAACCCCCACATGTTTTTAATAACATGCTTCGAAGTGTCTTGTGACATGCTTCGAAGGTAACTACAAAATCAAATGGCGATGGTTTTATGGATCAACTAATAATCATATTTTTGACCCAATATATTGCAATAACGAAATATTATTTGTTAGCCATACCATCAAAGCAATGTTTGATGTGATCCACAAGTCCAAAATCGATTTTGAACAACAAAAGTCATGGTACAGTGTGAACATGAAAATTCTTACTTTTTAACACTTTGAAAAATGTCAAAATTTTTGAATTTATGAACAGTGGCTTGTTCATTATTCTTGATCATGTTTGGTTTAAAAATATGACTTTCGCGAAATTAATTTTCATAATTATTTGGCAAAATAGGCTGTTTTTCCATGTTAGCTATTAATGGCTTATGAAAATCCCCCATAAGTATGTTATTTTCATGACTTGACTCTCTTAAAATTGATTTTTGGACTCCCCGAGCTATGCATGAAACATCATTCTTAGCCAAATTTGGCTCAAGAACATGCTTTTTGTTATGTTAATTTCATAAATTAGCTTTTTAAAAATGGGCTCTTGAACCCCCCGAGCCATTGATGAAATTATATTTTCACTAATTTCAATCACAAATGACTTGAAAATATTTTGTAAAACCCCACAAAATTCAGTCGTTGGAGACTTGACAAGAAGGGTTAATAGCTCATGTCTCCATTGGCAAATTTCCATATCAAATTGATGAATTACTCCAATTAAATGGTGTGTTTTTTCTTTTACCAAACAATATTGTAATGGATGGAAGTTTGTTTCATCAAGAAAATGGATCTCTTCTTAAAGATTCAAAATTTTTTTGTTTACGCCAAAAGGTTTCATCTAGGCTATTTAGAATAGACGAATCCAATTTATTTTTCATTTCTTACACTTGATATCCGACTGAGCGTGCCAAAAATTGTTGGCTTATTTAAAATATCATAAATGCGAGCATGCCAACAAGAATTGAAAAATCCTTATAGATTAAATTCAAGCCAATTATCAAGCGATTGTGGTGACGGTTCTTTTGCCTCAATGAAGAGGACTTCAAAATTGCCAAGTGTAGAAAACAGAAAAATTAACAAAAGAAATAAGGAGACAGAGAAAGATGATTGAGTGAACAATTGGAGTAATTGAGTGAACAATCAAAGTAACAATTACTTATCTCTACTCATATGCTTTGAAAAGGAAGTGCATAAAATACTTTGAAAATGAAGTGTTGAAAATAAATGCTTCGAAAAGGAAGTCGTAAAATAAATTACAGGAAATATAAATGACAAGAAAAATATAAATCAATTATCTTTGATTTGAGTTCTGAACCTTTTACAATGTAGCCATGAATGACTATTTATAGGTAAATATTTGTAGAAAAAAACTACTTAATAACTACCATATTCTTCCATCTCTTCTATTTCATACTCTATGATCTTCCATAACTTCCTTTAACCTCCACTTCATGCTCTATGTTCTCCACTTTGTTCTCCATCATCTTTCCACATTTCATAACTTCTCATAACCTTCAAATGAGTATGAGAGTGCCACATGTCCTGCAATTATATAAATAATAAATAATAATGAAATTACAAATTTATAGTGCCAACAGACTTTTTGGCTTTTACGTTAAAACACTTGCATGTTAAATGAGACCTCAATAATGTCTTTGTACACAGACATATGTGGTGTACCATGGCCAAGATATATATAATGCCTGTGTTGTACAGCTTATGAAGC